CTTCCCGCTCAATGCCCTAAAGATGGAGGCAGCAAGGACCCCTGAAATGTTGGTAAACTTCTACCAGACTACCGGCACTATAACCCAGAAGACATCCATCTTCGGAATCAACGCAGCGAAAACCTCAAATCCTACATATGCAATTTTATATAGACAAGATGCCAATTTATGTACATAAAAAGGGCAGAATATGATGAAAAATAATTTAAGGAAAAACAGCTCACGTAACATCTTAATAGCTCCATAAGACAACAAAATTGCAGGCAGCAGGAACTTTCATATATCAGTATGGGCATTTTCAGGTACCCAGAAAAGACATAAAAAGACCTTCGACAACAATCAGGATACAATTCAGACAATGACAAACAGCCGAAAATGTCGTTATTAAGACACGAAGATTCTGATGTTTGTGTTTGGAAACACCCTGTGATGTGTTCTCTCAGTCTCTCCTCTCTTTGTGTTTAGTACCTCTTTTTCCCAAAGCGAGCTGCAGACGACGATTACGGAAGATATTTCTATCTCTGCTAAGAAACTTTGGGTAAATGAAAACTTTTTTTGTATGAAAAATAAACCAACCACCAAATGTTATTTTTGGATGAAAAATAAACCAACCACCAAATGTTCCTATGACATTAGCAACTCATTTATACGTTCCAAATCTATGAGAAATTAATTTCATTTACATTTAAAATCTGTAACTCCCCATAGTATCCTGTGCTAACCAATATCTTCACAAACCGACCAACGATGGGGATAACAGAATAATTGCCCCCACCTCAGAAATATGTTCCAAGATTTAAACTGACTTTAAAAAAAAATTAAATTTTATATAAACAGATGAAGGAAAGTGTCTAAGAACATGCATCAACTTAATGACATACAATCATAAAAACTTTAGATAAATCATATTTTAGACTTAAGAAATGTTGGATGAGGGTACGAATGCTGATCATGGGGCATCAGTCACCAATCAACCAATTATATTTGCCATATCTTGTGGCAAAAGAAGAACAATAAAAATAAATATGTCACGAAATAAAAATATAAATGTATTAAGAAAAACAATTGTTTTTAGCACTTCTATATCTATGTATCAGAGTTTTGACTTTGTTCAGAATGAAACACGTAAAGAAAATTTAACATTTCTTACCATTTCCCTCTTTCATAGGTGATTATTCAGATTTTGTTCAAAACCAAAATTATATTATTTACTGCAAACATCATAGTAATTAAGAAACAATAAGTTACGACAAATGCTCTCTCTGTACCTATAACAAAACAGTAAGATGACTGTGTGAATGTGAAAATTCTTTATGTAATGGATAAGAAACAAAACAACATCCGTCTTATGACATTAGACATTCATTTGTAAGCTCCAACTGTAAGGGAAATCCCTTTTATTACAGTTTAATATATACCACATCCTGAGGCAGTAAAAGAACATTTTACGTCAATATAAGAAAATAACAGCAAATAAATTTGTGAAGAAAAGAAACAGTTCATAGCATTTCTGCCTCTCTCATACACAAAATTTAAAATTTCTTCAGTATAAAACAGAATTTGTTATTCCTTCTTGTTAATGTAGCATCACAGTAAGGAACAATAAATTGTTCTGAAAGTTTTTTTCTAAGTTGTCACAATAAAGGAAAGTGTAAAAAGACTTTAAACCTTGAAAATTTAAAAATAAATCTTATAACGCCAATCACGCACACAGGATATTTAATAAAAATGTCAGGAGTTCAAAACAATTCCAGAAATTTTCATTCTACCTCCTATCTTAATTGATTTTGCTTAGCCATATTCCAAAAAATAAATTCACAAAATAACTAAAAATAACATGGTAACAACCATTCTAATTGGTCACTGCAACTCAAGAGATATTGAAGAACTTATATCAAAATCTTTCACAATCGTTTACAGAATAAATCAGTTAACAAAGTAAAAACAAAGCACACATTTATCACAAGTGCATACTACCAATTACAGATCAAAGATGCTAAAGCATTGAAATTCTTTTAGAATTCTGAACAGTTTATTTTCAAAATACAGCAAACACTTTGAAAATTAAAAAAAAAATTGAGCAAAAAAGAAAACTAGATTATAATTATAATGCTATTCACAGCAATGTTAAGATATTGGTAACAGATACTACACATATGTTATGTTTTCACACCGTGATTTAGAGAGCATAAAGATTAAAAAAAGTGCCCCCCCCCCCCAAATTCTAAATTCAAATCTTAAGTCCCTGGTCCACTGTATCGTCTACCATTATTTAATTTCAATTAATAAATTGGTGTCTATAACGTAATCTTATTGTTATATATTACTAGGATCATCACCATCTTCAGACTCATCTAATATTACTGTATCACAAAGGTTTTTGAAATCGAATTCAAAACTCCCACGTCTAAGATTCCACATTACAGAGGTCTTAAATTCTTGCCATTAATAAAAACTAATGACTGAAATGTAACTCAGGATAATGACAATATTGACTGGATCTTGTTACCAACCTCGTTCTCCTTCTGCAATGAGCAGATACATTTAGAATCAAAAGGATTACCTCACACGTTTCACTGGCAATACATACTTTTGAATTAAATATGTAATAATAATTTGTTCCAGCTACATTCCACCTGTATCTAAGCTACACTGTACTTCTCCCTGGCATGTACTTAGAACATTCAGCAAGTGCCAACAACATTAACGAATAGGCACTCGCTGGTCCTCTTTGCTTTCAAACTGTCGTACCGTACGAACTGAAGACTACTCGGCTTGCATCGGTGTCCAACGTAACATCTTCTGGTGAAGCCAGGTCAACTCTGACCGACCCAGAATTGTTCCTTCTTCGTGCTGTCGCTCCCCCCCACTCCATATGTCTCCATCTATAAGTCTCACCCTCTGTTACCCCCTCCCTTTCACCATCACCAATATCACTTGCCTTCTCATCACCACCCTCACCAGTAACTGAAATCTGTGAACCAACAGAATTGACATTACCGTCACCACCACCTCGGAAACGAGCTACATTTCCAGAAACTCCTTCGACAGCTTCCTGAGTGTTGAAATGATGGCCATGGGAATCCTCAACAGCTTTAAGGATGTTCTGACACAGCTCAGAGTCCAATGGAATTGGATCTTCGCTGTCACGATTGTGGATAGTGACAGCGATGTGCGCGGGATGGGGCACAGGAAGAGGTATGAGCAGTTTCTCTGCACTGTACGAATGACAACGCTGTTTCCAAGGTTGCCACATTGTCACAATGTTCCCACTACCAGATGATGATACAGTGGTTCTTCGACGGGCATGACTTGTTGAAATTCCACCACCAGACTCCCTGTTGAACATTCCACATTCACACATTAAAAGAACAAGAAAATCTTTGTTACTATACTACACAATTATACCGTAAATACACTTAACATGGACACTAAAACTGGACGAGACAAACTACTACTAAAATAAAAAAAGACGCGAATAAAGCAGATAACCCATCTTCAAAAGGTAATAGTTGCTCAGATGGTAAATTAATAACCTATCTTTTATGTACTCCAAAGGTTCATTATCATATTCCCAAAATCCTCCACCCACACACACCATAAAGTTTAAAATTTGAGGTCCTCAAAGAGATAAGGATGTCAACGTTGACCTTCTGGGTAGTAGTGCTGTGTGGACCTGTAGGTAGACATGAACATTTCAGAGTAACATGCTGCCCTGAAAATGGAGGCAGTACGTTCCTCTGAAAGGTTGATATATACGCACAGTCCATGTAGCATTACTACTCAGAAAACCAAATGGGATAGTGGGAATGACCCGTTCTTCAAGTGCCTGAGCACTGCGGGTCCCAACTTTCGGCTTCATCCATAGACATTCGGTAGGACTCCTTGGACGAGGGATAGGCCTGTCGCGAGGCCTCTATCTGTACACAGGACAGAAAAACGTGGACAAACATCCATGGGATTCGAACCCACGGTCCCAGTGACCAAGCGGCACAAGGCCCACGCCTCAGACCGTGCGGCCAACATAAATATTTATTTCAAGATACATTTTAATATTGTCTTCCCATCTTCATACAGGACCCTGCCCTGCAAGTCCTCCACTTGACATTTTATGTGCATTTCTCACCACCCTCGTACCTGCTATACGTCTCACATATCCCATCCTCAACAATTTTATTATCCTCTTAATATCTAGTGACGAACGCAAATTATAAAGCTCGTGATTATGTAATTCTCTCCAATTCCTTTTATCACAATCCTGGTTCACAGCAAAAACAAACTGAATCTTCTGAAAGGCAGTTTGCCAATTCCAAAAAACTGACTTCAATGTCAACATTAAATAGCACTCACCCTCTCTTGTCCTGCTTGCGACCGGTAGCGGCGGCCCTGGAACGGGGATTGAAAGCGGATACTTCCAGATAGGGTGAATGGACTTGTATATTGCCTCTTGGAGCATACACTGGTCCCAAGAGATCAGGACCCCCAGCTCCCAGTTCTGCTCCATTTACCATCTCCGTGTACCTCGACAAATCCACTTGCTGATGAGGCTGTCAAAACAATTGCATTATAGTTTAAGACTTCATACTGAGAAATTACGAGCCGTATATCTATAATTCAGTGACGTCAGTGAATCAAATTAACCTTCTTCTCCTTCTTTTGCACTAGCAAGTCCAGGGATTCAAAAGGCTAGCATACATAAGACGCCTAATCTATAAATTAGACCAAAAATGGGAACAAAGAGTTTATTAAGAAGAATTCCAGACTATTACAAAACTTATTCTGTTGAAACACTCGTAGTCTTCAAAAATTATGTTTCTAAAGACACAAAACATTCTGTAACTGTGAAGCCAATTTAATGAATTGAGTGATAAAGATCTATAATACAAAGTACAATTCCTCCTCCAAGACAAGTGTCAGAGATTAAAAACAAATTATCGGAAATAAGTACGC